GCAATCGGCGGTTATAGAATTAAGTTGTACAAGAATTCATACACTGCTAGATGGCAGTGTTGTGCATATATTGTACATGAATTGTTGCCAGCTAGTAAGTGTCAAATTGAACTTGAGCTTTAAAATTAGCTTCTGCTAGTTCTTCTATGGCATAAGCATTTTTGAAGTTGCAGACCTAAATATTTTCATAAGCGCTTTAGAAACTGCGGAGCTAATTTTTGGATTAGCACTGCCCACCACTGCAGACCTAATATATGGATATTAGGATCAAATCTGCTTTTTGAGCTTGTTGAATTTGCACAGTTCCGGTAGCATTTCCCTAGCAACCTCAGTGTTTATCCAGTTGACCTGTAATCCAGAAGAGTTTAGACTCCACWAGTACTCGTAACTACGAAATGGTCTATTGAAGGTACTCACTGCAAAGTCATAAAGTCAAAGAAATTCATAAAATACTAAACAAAATTTGCGSATGTTTTTAATTATTTCRTATTGATGCTTAATGTGTTCTTCAACTCAAAATTTATCATGAAAATTTGTGAACAGATGCTAACTACCTCATGAGTTTGTTCAACTACTAAAACAGCTGAAGTGACTGAAAACAGGTCAACAATATGGGTGTTCACAAAAAAGCTGTTTGGGATCAAAATGTTTAACAATTTACTAATCTATTTATTAGTATTGGGACATTAGCTCAGATTTGTTGAGTAAACTATGTAGATTAAAGTGTTTAATTTATWTTGACAGCATACCTGCAAATCAAATTTCCATATCAATATATTGGGGAAACTACTAGAATAAACTCTTTCAAATGGCACCATTTAATATAGTTCATGATACACTTATTTATGTTTGATTTAACATTTGGCAATGAATACTTTTAATATTTTACAAAACGTTTAGCAGTCGGCCAACACATTTTATAGCAGCAGTGTGATAATGTGCTTCATCGCGATTCAAAAGCTTCTCAGAACTGCTTAAGAGACACAAAAATGAGCCTGAGTAAAAATTAATTAATTAATTAATGATTGCTTGAACACAAATAAAAACAAACCATCCTCTAATTAGTTCATATATTACTGATATTTTTATGACATGTCCCTTCAACAAATGATAATGAATCATTTAAAGACTTACATAAATCTTTTTTATGTTAAAAATTTAGTAATTTAGAATTTTTAAAACATGTTTGTTCTTTTTTTCCTCATAAATGTTTCAACATCCCTGGGCTCTTTTCATTATTCATTCATTTCGAGTCTAAACCTTTATCACTTATGACACACAATCCCAGAGAATATTTGTATGCTTTGCTGCAATGACCAGAAATGTTGGTCAACATATAAAATAGATTATTATCAAACACTGAATTCTCACTTAAGATGTCTAACTATTGATACCAGCACATTTAGCATTTTTGAATGAACAAAAGAAACCTGTTTGCAGTCATTAGAGGGGTTAGTGTGAGGCAGTTGGGTCAKTCAGAATTAACAGCGTGACTGATGTGAGAAACATGCAGACTATAAAACACCAGGTGGAGTTTGTGTATCTGGCTGAATGTCAGAATGATAAAAAAAAAAACAAAAAAAAACATCTGTATTACATTTTGACATGTCTGATTTTTATATGCCGAGCAGTAATTTGCCCCATTTATTTGTGCTGTTCTCATCTGTGCTTTGAGCATCAATAAGCCAATGATTGCTGCTATCTAAGAGAGTGATGTGTGGACCAGCTGGCACAATTAATCAGCCCAGCCCTGATCACATCACTCTTCAAACTGAACAGCCTGCCTTCCACTGTGATTAGACGGCTTATCTGTTGTTGGACAGCATGTTGATGCTGTGTCCATCTCTTGCTCCMTTATATGTGCAAGGTGCAGAATTGAATTACTTTGTGGCTTAACAAGTGCCTTCCCCTCATTTGTTTCTGTGAATTTTTTCGAACAAAATAATCAGTTAAGTCAGAACATGTGGCATATGCAGATAACGTGTTGTAGTCAAAAGCATTCTCATGTCTTCTCATAGGCCAGATACAAATAAACATGCAGAAATGTGCATAAAGACAGAAATGTACATGCACCCTTTTCTTAACACTTTCATAAAACTCCACCATCATCCTAATTTCCATTCCAATCTGTATTGGAATGGATGCAAACACGACATTAATGAATCATTTGCATTTAAAAACTGTAACTCAAACTACTGGAGAGTGAAATGAAAAAAAAAAAATAACAGAAGCACAATGTGACAAAATTGTTAGACACTCCTGTAATAAACAGAACAAAGTGAACTAAATAGTAAAAGAGATGTACTGCATTTGGTCATATCTGTTACAAACTCATAAACAGAAAAAAAATTGCTGAATTGAAATGAGGAAAACACACTTTCATCAGTCTCTATTGACATTTAAACCTGTATTGCCACTGAAGTGGCTGCAGACCTCGTGCACATATTAATGTTAAATATCTGTAGGTTTTTTTTCATTCTGTTATTATTGCAGACCTCGTGCACATATTAATGTTAAATATCTGTAGGTTTTTTTTCATTCTGTTATTATTTTTATTTGCTATTTAGATTGTGGTTTAGCTTTTACATTTGGTATTGTCCTTTCTGATATCTGTTACAAACTCATAAACAGAAAAAAAATTGCTGAATTGAAATGAGGAAAACACACTTTCATCAGTCTCTATTGACATTTAAACCAGTAT